AATAGTATAGTATATGCTATATATACTAATAGTACATATTCAAAGAAGAAAACTTCTCTGTGCTTCGACTCCCCAGTGGTTGGATTATTTTGCCAAACCTGAAGACCTTTGACACATCTTGGCCAGGGTCGCCTTCTGCCTCTCTTGGGGCAAACACATCTTTGAAGAAAAAGACTGAAAGGGTAGACGGACATCTTGGGGCAAAATTCCCCTATTTTCAGTTGTCTAAACTGAGGTTTAAAAATAGAACTACTTATAAACAAATGATTGAACCACTTTGTTGCTCTTTACCACTGGAGCGTCTCTAATAATGGTCAGCGACTTGGGACTCCAGAGGTCTCTAAGGTTAAATACCTTCTGTTTTAAGTAACAGAGGCATTGAGATGTGGTTTACAAAGTTGTCTATTTGAGATGTTGACAGTTTAATTATAGTCTTTCAAGTGCTGATGAAGATGACTGACATGATTTAACTTCTCCTTGAGCTTGCCTCCTTTAAGTTCTCTATCTGGTCAGGTATATAAAATTCAATAATCAAATCTTCTGTCAGTTTTACATTTTACAACAGTGTTGTAAAATTACATTTTACGACAGTCCCTTTGCTGCAAATGTACTACAAATCCAGGTAGTTATGTGTATGTAAGCATTTTGTAAATAGTAAGTAGCAGCACACAAACAACACATTTAATGTTAACAGCTACTGTTTTTAAGCACCACTAACTTCACTAAGACATTTTAAATATAAGCATTCACATTCAAATTCACTGTATGCCATTGCTTTTTCCCTTTTCAAAATCTTTGTCAGTATTCAGAAGTTATATGTTTACTGCATTCTTTTGTACTGTTTTTCACTCTCTATCTCTAATATCTGTTTTATCTTTGTCTTGGAAATATGTCAAACTTAATTAGTAGGGAATCAGATACAATATATATAATTCCCCTGACAAAAACAGAATGCACATTATGGGCCTTGACAGACACAAACATAAATCTGTTTGAACAACATCCCACCAACTAACTTAGTATGTCTGGTTCAATTCAATGTGCAAAATTATAAAAAGCTCTGACAGTAGTCCAGTGATAGAATATAGACAAATGAGCAGTAAGTAACTTTTGTTCCCAACTAGACTTTAAGCCTGACCTTGGAAAAGCCTAACTGATCTGTTTATTTTTATGGAGTAAGGTGATGATGTGGAGATCAACATTACAAGCTGTTCACTATTTATTTGCCTACTTCCCCAGCATTTACACGTGTACACAACACATCTGTACACTACAGTCACCTGAACCTACTCACTCCACTTTGCAAAAGCCCCATGAAGCCCGGCTCCTGAATGAATCTGTTTAATATCTTTCAGTTCAAATGAGTGACTACACTAAACATGCTTTGGGGCATATGGGATGGGCTGAAATTGCCCCTCTGGAGGGACGGGCGGATGCGCCGGGGCAGTTTGGCCATTTCGAAAAACAAGAGCCCACACTTAGACCCGCAACCTGAGAGGATGAGGGTACCTCTCCACCTAAGTGAATCCAGATGCTGCCCACAAACACTGCAGAGCGAGTCAAAGGCTCTGGGCTGCACACTTGGACCTCAGATTCCTGCTCTTTCTCATAGCTGCTGATCATAGGGGCTGTTCAACAGCATTGTGGGAGGGAAATTATCAGCCTCGTTCGTCTTTGAACAAAACAAAAACACCAGAAAATCTTTAAGTCTTTTCCTTTTCCTTTTCCTTTTCCTTCTCCTGAGGACATACCACCTGGCCACAAATCTAGATACACAGGCCGTGCTGGAATTCAGGAAAGTTGTTGAATTGCATTCGAAAAAAATAATCTGAGGCATGGTTAAAATACCGGACAATTTATATACTGTATATATATATATATAGAGCAAGAGAGAGAGAGAGAGAGAGAGATTTGTGATCAAATAAATGCAGCCTTGGTGAATATAAGAGACTTGTTTCAAAAACATTTAATAAATAAATTAAAGAAATCATTTTAAATGCTACAAGTGAATTTAGACATCACAATATTATGTATAAAAGTATAGGTATTAATGAATATTAGTACTGATATGGTATATATATTGCGCATCCCTAGTCAAAACATGGACAGCATGAAAAGCACGTCAGGGATGAATGGATGTGCATTAATAGATGGCTCTTTTCTTTTTATTTTGACATCTGCATTTCGGATGAGGAACAAAGACACTGCATAGAGCGGTTCTCGTGGCTACAGAGTGGCCCATGCAAAATACAAAACAAAAATCACCAAGGATGCATCATGTTACATGTCACTCAATCCATTTCAAGCAAAAACGAACAATCCTGTTCACTGTTCCGTCAGAACTGACAGGAACCTGTAAGATGAGAGGACAAAAAGTGTTCTCATACGTGGATTGAAGAGATGAGCCTTTCCAAAAAGAGAGAGAAAATCTATTATTTTTTAGAGAATCTAATGTCAAATAAAAACCCATAGACATCATAATGGAAATGTGTTCTGATGTAATATCATTATAGCATTTCCCAGGATAATCTATGAGTACAATATCCCTGTATATACAAGGTTTTAATGACGCACTGCCATATGTGGACTCTTGTATTCTGAGCCAACCAGAAAAATTAGTGAGATTCCACACACTCTCCTTCCCTTAATCAGAGCATGTAAGCCGGCACAATAAGCAATGAATCAAAGCTCACTCTCTCCCTCCACGGCAAAACAGCGTTCCTTAGCAGGGAGCCCTTTAGTAACATGTGTCACTTCTAATTTCGACGAGCTGCATGATGGCCACCAGACACTCCATCATGAAACACACACCAGTTCTTTCTTTGCTTATGTGTTTCTTTCATTTCCCAATCTCAAACACAGCGGTATGAAATAAACTACACATTTTCCATTTCAGTAGGCGTTGCCTGCTTTGGCTCATTTTAAGGAAGTTTGCCACTCAGAGGACAAACGGTTAAATTAAAGATGACTAAATGATGACTAAATTTCCCAACACTGAATAAAACAGCTTGAGTTTGCTTTTGAAATGAGGTTGACAAATGTAAGATTTTGGTTTTCACATCCTGTATTTAGAAGGAGAAAAAGCAACATGAATGGGTCATTAATTTGCCGTGTATGAAAAAATTACCAGTGAAAGGACTGAATTATTGAATCCTGAAAAATGGGGGGTGGGGGGTTCAGTGCAAATTCCTATGAAGATGTATAGTAGAGAATCAAATTTGCTTGATAGCATGCAAACCACCTGTGTGTCTGTGTGTGTAAGACAGAGAGAGAAAAAGAGAGTTAGAAAGGGTCCACATGCCTGAGCGGTTTGCTGGATTTGTGTCCTGCCTGAGGGTGAGATTTAGAACATTGTTGTTGTCTTGTGAGCAGACAGCTGCTCACACATGATAAATTGTTTCCGTGTTGAGCTCGTACTATAAGTCTGTGCCTCCGCCAGGCCTCCCAGGCTCTCAAACCCTCAAAGCTGCATTTTTCCGTATTTTACAGTTGCACTCCACATTTCATTTACTTTTAATCTATTGGCCTCTGCGCAGCTTCCAGATTATCCTTATTTAGTTGTCAAACTCAGCTATGGAGGCAATTTAAAACTTGGAAAAAAATATCAAACACATTATATTCATTTTAGTGGAGATGAACTGAAATATCTGTATAATTTTAGCTTTAACATTAGTAAAAGTGTTGGACACACTTGGCACTCATGATATACAGTGGGTACGGAAAGTATTCAGACCCCCAACATGATCTTTATTTAATATCCTAATGATTTTTGGCATAAAAGAAAAATCTATCATTTTGACCCATA